TGTTTTTCCTATTAAATTTAGGGTGTTAATATTAGTCGTTAGATTAACTTTAAAGTAAAATTTAAAACTATCTCAACGGCGAATAAAAAAATTATTTTATTTATCTTTTGATATTTGAATTGTAAGCTATTTTATTATATAGATTAAAAATTCTCTTATAAAACTCAAACTTATTATTTCAAGTAGTAATAATTTCAGAAGTAATGCCAATACTTTGGCAAGGTTATAATCATAGTTTTAAAATCCGGCCCAGACATCAACCCGGAAAAGGAATCGGGTCAATGGGTTACTGGTTCAACTGTTGGGTTACTGATCGAACCGGTAATATAATAAAATAATAATAATAAATAATTATTAATATTAATAGATAATTTAATAATTACAAAACTAAGTATATTAGACCAAACAAAAACTCAATCAAATCACCATCTAGAGAGTTCAGAATAACAACTAAAATATGTCCAAAAATATTAATATCTCAGAAATAAATCATTTGAACAAAAATTAACATACACAGCACAACTACTCATAACTGATCACATCAAATAAAATTAACATTTATAAACAAACATACTCATATCAGCATACAAATATCTAAACCTAAAGATGTTATAGAACTACATATAAGCTGTGTCAAAAATAAGGCAGATCCATCAAGGAAATAACACATAACAAAACCCTAAGCATCAAGAAGAGAAACGAACTGAGGAACCAAAAAAAAAATTCGAAAACATGTAGAACAAAATCAATTTAGAATCAGTCAAAAACATACAATGTATTTCATGAATCGACATGAAGAACAGGAAGGTAGAAGTGAGTAGGTGTATGTACCTGCTGAGGTTTTTTTTTTTGTATCACAAAACCATGATTTCATTACCAAATACCAAAAAAGGGAATAATTTATTGGATAAATTAGAAGAACTTGATTCTCCTGGGAACTTACATGGACTGAAGAGCCTCTCACAAGAAGAGCAGAACCCTATAGGAAGGTCCCAGCAATGAGAACAACAGAGAGAGCCATGTAGAGTCAGTTGGGAAGGCAATCTTTAGGAAGGTCCCAGTTATCATCATCATCTTCCTTCTTGTTCTTCTTGAACCTCTTGGTGGGAAGCGTGGGAGAGAGATGACTGAGTTTAAGCTGTAGAGGATCGTCGGACGGGAGCAAATCCTCTGCGGTAAGTGAAAAATCGCATGTCATGCGATTAAATAAAACGGTATTGTTCCACTTGGTTTTGAAATTTTTTTTTTTCCTCCTTACCAAAACGACGTCGTTTTGGTCTAGTTAAAACCAACTTCGGTTGTCTCCCTTTTCTTTCTCCCGCTTCTTCTTCATCAAACTCCACTGGTTCTAGGTACAAAGTGGGTCTTTTTCTAATAATTCAAATCTTTAACAGTCTTTTTACCAATGATAATATAAGCTGAAAGAATAATTTATGTTTCATTTACCTGCTAAATTACTAACTGGAGTTAGGTTCACCATCAACCTCAAACTAGTCTAGTCTTACTTGTTATTGTATTCAAGATCCAAAAAGAAATAACCAAACCAGGGGGCTGGAAAGGATCTGACCACTCCAAGCCGATAAGTTTAATATGAAGTTTGTTTTTATAAATTAATCGTTTTACTAAATGTGCTGCTAGCTCAAAAGCATATACCTTTCTACATTACTATGCATGTATACATACTTTCGTGTATATATATATATATATATATACATGTGTGTGTGTGTGTATAAATAAGAATTTGATGTTTTTTATTTGATAAAATTTTCTATAAAGTTTAGATTTCTATAATGTGATTTTCTCCATATTTTCGGTTTTACGCTCGATTAATTTAAGAGTATAATTTGTGTATTGAGTTATTAATTTGTAGTTTTGGTGTACTGATAATGTTCAGATTACTGTTCAATGCTTGAAGGAGACGCTTCTTATAGCTGCTGGCAGGCGTACTTCGAACTCAAAGATCTTGAGGTGAGTTAATTTAATTTTTGCTATTATATGTCATCCAAATTCCTCCACTTTCTTACCACGTTTTCTTGGGAAAATTAGAGGAAAAATTTTCGAACATATTGAACCAAATGCCTTACAAAATTCTTCTTGTAGGGTACTATGATGGATGATTTGGGAGTTAATGCGACTGAGAATATACCTCATATTGGTATGTAATTTGATGCGAAGGAAGATGCTTATACGTTTTACAATAGTTATGGAGGGTCTGTGGGATTTAGTGGGAGAAAATATTTTCAGAATAAAAGTTTGAAAGATGGTATTGTCATTTACAAAAATATGTTTGTTGTAAACAAAGTCAAAGGAGTCGTGATAAAAGAGAGTACCAAATAAGGAAGCCTCGAGCAGAGACAAGAACAAATTGTGAAGCTCATATGTGCATATCTCTTAATAGAGAAATTGGTAAATTTGTTGTGACGAAGTGAGATGACAACCACAATCATCCTTTGCACCTTGCTGGATATATGCATATGATGCCATCCCAACGAAAGGTTACTGAAGCCCAAGGCATTAATATTGATGTGACAGCAGATTGTGGATTGTCACTTTAGCTTATTATGATCTTTTAAGTACTCAGTCTGGAGGAAATGAAAGTCTTGGTTTTACTCGTCTTGATCAAAAGAATTACCTCCGTGAAAGGAGACAACGAGACTTGAAGTATGGTGAGGCAGGTAGTTTTTTGAAGTATTTTCAAATGGAAGCAGTGAAAAATCCATCATTCTATTATGGAGTGCAATTGGATGCAGATGAGCATATTAATAATATTTTTTGGCCCGACCTAGTGATGATTATTGACTATGGCAACTTTGGAGATGTTATCTCATTTGACACTACTTTCAGAACGAACAAGGAGTATCGACCCTTTGCTTGTTTTACTGGCTTCAGGGAGATAGTCTTATTTGGAGCTGCAATATTGTATGATGAAACGGTAGCATCATTTCAGTGGTTGTTTGAGACATTCCTACAAGCTTTGTCTGAAAAATATCCTATTACTATCTTCACTGACCAATATCAAGCGATGACTAAGGCTATTTCTATAGTCATGCCAGAGACATACCATAGGCTATGTACTTGGCATCTTTGCCACAATGCGTTGAAACATTTGGGAAACATATATAAGGATGATTCTCAATTTCCTGCTCAATTTAAAGAGTGTGTATGGATATAAGGAAGAACATGAATTATTTGAGGCTTAAGAATCATTGCTTGCGGAGTATAGTTTGTATGATAATATGTGGATGAAAGCCACTTGTGTATTGTGAGAAAATGGGGGCATGTATATATGAAGAGGACTTTCACTGTATGAATGAGAAGCACCCAATTGAGTGAGAGTTTGAATGCAGCCTTACGGAAGTACTTAAAGCCAGACTATGACATTGTTCAGTTCTTTGTACATTTTGAAAGAATTGTGAATGATAAACTGTATAAGGAGTCAGACTCAGAATACCAAGTTAGGTAAAAATTACCTAGATTGAAGTTAAAAAGAGCTCCAATGTTTGTGCACGCAGGGCAAGTGTACACTCCTACTATATTTGACCTGTTCCAAGAGAAGTATGATATCTTTCAGTGTGCTATTGCGACATCATGTGATGTGTTGGATGAGTGACATCAATTTGTGGTTTGATTATATGATAAACATAGAGAGTATTTGGTATTGGTTAAGGCTAATGAGGAGATAGTCAATTGCAGTTGTCGAAAGTTTGAAATGAAGGGAATATTATGTGACCATGCACTTAAAGTCTTGGACATGATGAATATTAAACAAATTTTCGAGCAATACATATGTCCTAAAAGAATAAGAGTGATTAATTTAATATTTTACTAATATAGTAGTGAGATGGTCCAAATGTTATAATAACTGTAAGTGTTAGATGTTACACTTTTTATAAGAACCTTGTTAGCAAATACCTAGTGGGCTATGGAGTGAGTCCATTCTCTGTACTCTCAAGTATAGTTTTAAAACTCGGTTCGGACGTCAATCCGGTAAAGGGATTGGGTCAATGGATTATTGGTTCAACCGTTGGGTCACTAGTCAGACCAGTATTATAATAAAAAATTAAAAAATAATTATAAACACTAATAAATTGGCTAAAAAATCACAATAATTATAAAAATAACATCAAAAATTATCAAACATCCAATTTCAATGTATTCAAACTGATAATGCAACAACATTAGATTTCTAGAAATAGGAATCAAAATACATTTCTTCATCATAGAGTTTTGAGATTGGGGATCTAACAAATACAAATTATTCAATGACACTGATCAAACAGAGTCAATATGAACAAACCCATTTGATTGGTGTACAATGTAGTGCAAAAAATCCAAGAACAATATGTGTAAAGAAAACAGAGAACCACCATATCACAGAAGTCTCTACCACACAAACTATAGATATAAAAACATATATATATTAATGCAGTGATCTCATCTAAGATGAGTAGTCGGCTAATATCTCGATATCTCAACAACCCCAAAAATTTATTTTTGAACTATCAAAACTTACAAAATTTAATGGTACGGTACTATTTTTTTTTGTTATACCATATTCTTTCTCGTTTCTAAAACTTACGTGACCCAAGTAGCATTCAAAGAATACCCACTTCAGTTATTATCTTTATTACAAATTCAAATGGCTAAACCAAATAAGATAGTTAAATGTGATCCCCTCCTCTCTATTCACGATTGGATCCAAATCCTTTCAAGCGCTATATGTATATATATATATAAACACATATAGGTGGAGAGAGAGAGAGAGAGAGAGAGAGAGAGAGAGAGGGGGGGGGGAAGGAACTCAACTCGTCATTGCTTAATCGCTCGTGCCTCGTGGAGTTGTGCTCAGTTGATGGTGTCTGGTGGTCTGGATGCATCGATTTAGGGCAAAGAGGTCTGGAACTCTGGATTGGATTGATTTAGAGCAAAAGGGCAAAATGCCCAAAAATCTGAATCGAATAATCTAGGCACTTCGATTGAGTTATGTGCTACTGTGCTCTATGTGTGTGTGTGTGAGAGAGAGAGAGAGAGAGAGAGAGAGAAGAAGGGGTTGGGTGACCAGTCGTTGGAGACGAGGAGAAGCAGAGGCAATAGGCAAAGAAGAATGAATTTGGGCAAAAAAAAATTCCTAGAACCTAATTTTATAGCATTCGAAGCAACTCGTCCGGTTTGTTTTAAAACGTCCGGTTCATAGATTTTGTTACAAAATCGGCCAGTTCAACGAGTTTTGTCTGATTTTTTTGCTCAAACGATCAAATAACTAACCCAGCCAAGTTCAGGCTCCGGTTCACCGGGTCAACCCGCCATGCCGAGATAGGTTTTAAAACACTGCTCTCAAGTCTCAAGCAACATGATTCCCTCAAGCCCCTTAGGGGTATACAGGACATTTTAATCAATCTTTGCAAAACTCTACCCTAAGTAATTTATTTCTTTCGATCACTATTCTTTCTTCTCTCTCTCTCTTTCACACACAAGCAACAACTTTCTCGTGCACGTACAACAACCTTATTTCTCGTTGTTACTACAAAAATGCCACCAAAGTTCGATCCCTCACAGGTCGTCGACGTGTACGTGCGAGTTATCGGAGGCAAAGTGGGAGCAGCAAGCTCACTCGCCCCAAAAATCAGTCCACTCAGTCTCTCACCAAAGAAAATTGGAGAAGACATCGCAAAAGAGACTACAAAGTACTGGAAGGGTCTTCGAGTCACAGTCAAGCTCACCGTCCAAAATCGCCAAGCGAAAGTCTCCGTCGTTCCCTCGGCAGCGACTTTGGTCATCAAGGCACTCAAAGAGCCCAAGCAAGACCGTAAAAAGACCAAGAACATTAAAAACACCGGCAACATTGCCCTTGATGATGTGATTGAGATCGCGAAGATCATGAGGCCGAGGTCAATGGCTAAGGATTTGACTGGAATTGTGAAGGAGGTTCTCGAGACATGTGTATCCGTTGGATGTATGGTAGATGGGAAAAACCTGAAGGATTTTCAGCAGGAGATTGCCGATTGAGATGTGGAGGATCCTCAAGACTGAGACGATGGGATTTGGTGGGACTCTAGGTGGCTCTACAGCCCCCAGACTGACACGTGGAATAATGAAGCCGTTGTGATATCTAGAAGGCGCCGAAGAGTTAGCCAAGGAATAGTGACCCGGAGGAGCCGAGTACGACATCTAACATCATCTTTAATACAATGTGACCCCTCATTTATGGCGGAATGAGTGATGGTGACAAGGCTAATTAATGTGCGCTTGCAAGCACCTGCCCTTTGGGAGTCTAGGCCTACTATCATGATGACTAGGTATTAATGGCTGATATGCCGAGAAGGTACGATCGGCTCTCCCTGAGGAACTGTTTTCCTGAGTATTCAATCCTTAGTTGCTGGTGGCAGATGTCATTCTGAGAGATGTGGATACTCGGCATGGTGCCGAGCACTCGTCCCATCATCCTAGCATTGAGTAGGAGAAGACGTGAAGGGAAAACGATCACTGCTCGAGGAGTGGCATGTCAGACATTAAATGTCCGGATGGGACTGGAGGTCTTTGACAATCATTGTTAATTCAGACATAAATACTCCTCAAAAAAATGAACAAAGGTACGCAAATTTGAACCAGAAAAAACATTATTCATTGAGCTTGAACCTCGAGTCTTAAGATTGACTTAAGCATTGGAGGGGATAAGTCAGGTGTTCACTTGGCCCCCTTTTCTGACCCTGTGATTGTTTGAGGTTCACCAAGTTGGAGGTCGCTATCTCGAACTATTGCAGGAATTATCCCGTGTAATTTGGCGCCATCTGTGGTAACGAGAACATATTTCCCAGTAGCGATCGTCTGATGGTGAACACCTGATCTCAAGGTGAAGGAGCAAGTGTGCGTGTAAGGGACGCAGAGCCCATCCGGCTTTCAATGGTTTTAAAATCGGGTCCATTGAGCTAGTCAGGTGGAGGGGAGCGTTCCTCGCAACGAACGCTCCATATGGATCAAGGCCTTGGGGGGCATGACCTCATGGCTCGTGATATCGTTGAGATGGTGGAGAAGTGGATGGGCAAACGCATTAAGCAGTTAGAGAAAGAAAATGCCAAGGTTCGGCGACGGCTCGACAATTTTGAGCAGTCGGCAAGCGTGGGCGGGCATAGTCACGGGTACGGGTACGGGGACCAGGCCCCCAGTCAAAACCTCTCCAGGCCTCATTGGCATAGGCCCTCCAAGAAAGACTGACTTAAGCACTCACCCCAGGGGTGCAACCGCCAAAGTGGGTTCTCGACCTTGAAGGGAAAATCAGAATCGGGCCAAAAAGACAGGTCTGTCTTGGTGGGACCTCTGTCGATGGAGGACATCGAAGCCGCTAAATCACAAACAGAGTCCACACCCAGGAGGCCTCGAGAAGAAAGACCCAAAGGGGATCCCAGTGTCCACCTCGCCACTTATTGCAACCCTGAGCCCGAGGTTGATGCCAACGAAGTCATTTCACCGTTCATCCGGGCTATCAGGGAGGCCGAAATGCCAAAGAAGTTTACCATCCCATAGTTCAAAATCTACGATGGGAAGACCGATCCCGAGAGTCACTTGTGGCAATACAAACAATTGATGTCCATCAACGATACCGATCAAAGGGTGTTGTGCCGAGTTTTTTCCATGAGCCTGGGGGACATGGGCATGCGATGGTATGAGAACCTGGCTCCTGTGAGCATCAGGTCCTGAGACAATTGACGGAGCTCTTCGTAGCTCGATTCATCACCAGCAGTAAGAAACCAAAGAACATCGGCGTTCTATTGACGCTTAGGCCTAAGGGAGGAAAGTTCCTTCGACAATATGTCGTATGGTATTGGGATGAGGTCAACGAGGTGGAGGCGTGTTCGGAGGCACTGACCGCGACGTCATTTAGGCTGGGGCTATCCCGGGACGTTGATTTGTACAAGTCACTGACCAAGAAGGCTCCAGCAGATATGAGTCAAGGTGTCAGCTGAGGTGGCACCCGCGATTGAGGTTATTCATGCCTGTACCGTGGAAAGGCCTACGTATAACTCCCTTCGTGCCGAGTTACAAAAGATCTCTCAAGCAGTCAAGGTGGAAGAGAAGGGTGAAAAACGCCCCCCTAAGAAGCTGTAGAGTGCCAAAGTTATTCAGTTTTCCGATGCTAAACTCGGCGGGGTGGTCCTCCCCCATAAGGATGCATTGGTAGTCACTTTACGGGTCAAAAAATTTGATGTCAAAAGGATCTTGGTAGACTCGGGTAGTTCTTCCGAGGTGATGTATCACCATCTCTTCCCCAAAATGGGATTCTTACAAAGGGATCTAGAACTCGTAAAGACCCCCTTCATTGGTTTCAAACTTTCAATGGTTCCAACATCCTCCCTCTTGGGAAGATCACCCTCATGGTACGTGTGGGGGTAGTCACTATCCCAGTGGAGTTTGTGGTAGTAGACTCTGACTCCCCGTACAACACTATTATGGGAAGGTCATGGTTGCATGCGATGAAGGCAGTCCTCTCATTCTATCACCAGAAGATAAAGTTCCCAATACCGCAAAGCATAATGGAAGTCCGGGTTGATCAGACATCGGCGAAAAGCTATTTCTATGCTGCGGTGAAAACTGGAGTTAGCGGCCTAAGTCAGGAACATGATCTTGATGCGGTGGTTGCCAGATAGCAATCACATAACGGTCGACCAGGAGTGGATGAGCCCATTACAGAGCCAGCCGATCGATCTACGGAGGCCTTGGTCAAGATCCTCCTGAACCAAGATAGTGATGAGAAGTACTTTTTGATAGGAGAGTCACTCAGCGAATCAGAGAAAAATTATACGGCCTCATTCTTACGCCGGAATGTTGATATCTTTGCATGGACCCAGGCCAAGATGACGGGGATAAGCGCCGAGGTGATGACTCATCGGCTCCATGTCGACCCCTCGTTCAAACCCGTTAGGCAGAAGATCCAAAGAACGGCGCCTCATCATGCGAAGGTTGTGGATGAAGAGGTTGATAAGTTACTTGGGGCAGGTTCTATCAAGGAGGTATAGTTCCCTCAGTGGTTATCCAACACTGTTTGCGCCAAGAAGAAAGAAGGAAAATGACGAGTTTACGTGGATTTCACAGACCTGAACAAGGCCTGCCCCAAGGACGAGTACCCATTGTCTAGGGTTGATCAACTGGTAGATGCAACAGACGGACATAAGCGGATCACCTTTATGGATGCTCGAATAGGATATCACCAGATTCCCTTACATGAATCGGATCAGGAGAAAACGACGTTCATTACACCCGGGAGATCTACTGTTACACACGGTGATGTCTTTTGGGTTAAAGAATGCAGGGGCGACTTACCAACGTTTGATGAATAAAATTTTCAAAGAGCAGCTCGACGAAACTATGTAGGTGTACATTGATAACATGTTGGTCAAGAGCAAAGAGAGCGCCAACCATCTCTATGATCTCAGAGTGACGTTCTCCATCCTCCGAAAGTATGGCCTGAAACTGAACGCCTTGAAATACGCTTTTGGAGTGAGCTCGAGAAAGTTTTTAGGGTATTTAGTTACTCACAGGGGTATCAAGGTGAACCCCGAGTAGATACAGGCAATCTAGAAATTTCGGGCACCTAAGACCATTAAGGATATCCAGAAATTGACTGGGATGTTAGCGGCCCTCAACCGATTTATTTCCAAGTCTTCCAATAAGTGCAGACCATTTTTTACCAAGTTGAAAGAGGGCAGCTAAAGAATTATGGGATGAAGAATGTAGCCGAGCTCTTGAGGGGATCAAGGAGTACTTGAAACATCCTCCAACCTTATCGGTCCCGGCGGCTGGAGAGTTCTTAGCCTTTACTTGTCGGTGTCTCAAGAAGCCATGAGTGGAGCACTGGTCAGAGATAGCGAAGGAGCCCAAAGATTCGTCTACTTCGTAAGCAAGACGTTGCTCGACACCGAGACAAGGTACTCTCCAATAGAGAAATCGATTTTAGCATTGGTAGTCTCGGCGAGGAAGCTTCGACACTATTTCCAGACTCACGCCATAAAAGTCCTAACAAATCGGCCTCTCAAACCAATCCTCCACAGGGCCAATATTTTCTGGGAGGGTTGCCAAATGAGCTGTAGAGCTTGGGGAGCTCGAGATCAGGTACAAACCTCGTACTTTGATAAAAGGACAGGTCTTGGCAGATTTCATCGCCGAATTCTCTGCGTCCGAGCCCCCACCAACAACACAGGATCCAAGTGAGGATGTTTGGGGTCTTCATGTTGATAGATCCTCGAACGCAAGGGGGCAGGAATAGGTATTGTGTTGGTAAACTCAGAAGGATTCGTGATAAAAAGGGCAATCAGATTGATGTTCAAGGCGTCCAATAATAAAGTCGAGTATGAGGCGTTGCTAACAGCCCTGGATGCTGCATGCTTAATTAGGGTCAGACACCTTCAAGTCTTTTGCGATTCCCAACTGGTTGTGAACCAAATAAATGGGAATTTCGGGTCCGGGATAGCAGAATAAAGGCGTATCATGAGAGGGCAAAATCCAGAATGAAAAAACTAGAAAAGTGGAAGTTTCCCAGATTCCTAGAGATGATAATACCCACGCCGACACACTAGCATGTCTGGCTTCAGCATTGACCTCGGAGGTAACTCGGTGCACAATCATTGAGAACTGGGAAAGTCCATGCATAGACGAAACAAAGGCCGAACGAGTGTTACCAACTCTAGTGCAGATGCCGTCGGGATGGATGAACCCCATCATTGCATACCTAATAGAAGGAGTGCTCCCCAAAAATATCAAAGAGGCTAGGAAGATTAAGCTCAAAGCTCCTAGATTTTGGATGTCAGCGGATCAACAATTATACAGGAAATCGTTCTCAGGACCATTGTTGTTTTGCGTCCCCGAGGATAAAGTGGAACCCCTGCTGTATGAAATCTATGAAGGGGTATGTGGAATCCACACGGGCGGAAGGTCTCTCGCACACCGAACAATGACGCAAGGATACTGGTGGTCGTACATGCAGAGAGACACGAAGAGTTATGTGCGGAAGTGTG